GGTGCATGACCTTTCAGGAGAGGTGGAAAAATTCTCAGGGGAGGTGCAAAACGATCTCAGGGGAGGTGCGCACCTATCCACACCTCCCCTCAAAATCCGGCCTTGATGCAAATAAATCACCACAGCTAGAAAGAGCATACTAAAATAAGTAAATTATTGCAAAGTTTGGTTGCGAATTGTTGCAAAATACGGAAAATATAGCCTTGCAAAGTTTGCAAATTTTGTATACTTTTGTATTGCATGCGAAAATTGCAATTATACAAAAGTATACAAAATTTGCAAACTTTGGAAGGCTATATTTTCTACATATTTTACAACATTTGCAACCAAACTTTGCAATTTTACTAATTTTAGTATGCCCTTCTCAGGAATATACTTTTTTTGCTAAGATAAAAAATTAGTCTATAATGGGAATTGTCTATTGTTCCCCATTATCTATTTTTGTTTCTCTAAATAAAGAGCTAGAGTTTTTGTTTCTCTAAATAAAGATAAAGAGCTAGAGGGGGGGGGGCAAAACTTATGTTCTTGTTTTGCTTGTTGGGGGGGGGGCTTTGAAAATTTTACTTGTCTTAAGAGGGGGGCAACGAAAAAATATTATAACTGTAGAGTTTCTCCTCAGTCTCCCCCTGTACAATAAATAATGAGCAGTCCCTAAGTCGTGGGGTCGCTATGTAGATCATTGCATGGTCGTTGTAGGTCGTTGCAGGGCCGTTGTAGATCTTTGTAGATCGTTGTAGGCCCGCTGTAGGTGGTTGTAGATCGTTGTAGGCTCGTTGTAGGTCGTAGGTGGTTGTAGGTCGTTCCTTACTTTAGTACCTACATCATCAAATTATATAATCCTGGATGATGTCACATTAGAACATATTTGATAAAACAAAGTAGCATTCCTGGGGGTACATGTCAGCTTGATGTGTGTAAAAACAATTTAAAATGTGCCCTACTGCAGCTCAATTAATTTATTATTCTATTCTGTCTTGCATATGCCAGATTATCAGCTATTATAGAGTCAGCCTGTCCAATTCCAGATGAGGTTACCTGTCAACTCAGACATTTGAAACTTAATTATGTGTCTCAATTAAGATAGGTTAAACTAGGGGTGGATCTAGCCGAGGAGTGGTGGTAAGCGAGATTCTATCATAAAACAGAATATAATTGTTGTTCTCCCCAGAATGGATCATCAACGACCCCCAGTAAGGGCAATCCGCTTAGATTGTTAGAAAATTTGAAAAATTGCCTACAGTGGACAAACAAAATTAACAAATGGACTCCAAATGGCCCAATATTGGGTTTTTGTTGGAAAAATGGCCTGCCAAATCTATTATTTGTATTAGGTATGGAAATTTTCACTCCTCCTGTACCTCCTTTGACCAAGGCTGTGGCAGTAAATCCACCCCTGGATTAAACCTGTATAATACAATGACTATATAATATATTTTAAATGACTGTTCCAGAATTACCGGGTACCTGGATGGTCAAATCTCATAATCAGTTTTGCTTCACGTTCCACTGACATATACACTCAGACAAAAACTGCTTGACAATACCAGCAATGAGAATAAAAACTTACAATAAACATTAATGCATGTTGCAAGTATCTTGTGTACAGTATACTATTGATTCCACTTTATTCCCAATTTATACATTCAATATTGGTGAAATTCTTCAGACTATCTATTTTTGGTTGAAAACAACTTTGTTTTTCATTGGCTGCAGTCCTACAGATGATTTTTGACATGGTGCACACCTACAGGTCATAAATTATGTTGTGCACATAATTATTATGAAGCCAATTAGCCAAGTTTACAAAAAATATTTGCCACACAAGCAATGAAGCAAAGGTGGTTTGTATGGACAAAAAATAGACGGCAACACTATACTGCAACTCTAGAGGAAAGTTCTTTCTGCAGCCTGTGGTTAACTGGTTAAGAGAGAATAAAGTATCCGATATTCAAGAGATTCAAATAAGTTTTCAAGAGATTCAAATGTTTGAAAAAATACTATAGTGGGGCTCTGTGCAATTCCTGATATCAAAAAACCTCATCCAAATTACAACTGTTTATTATTCATCAAGAATATTCTAAAGACCTCTGGATCCCCCTGGTTTCTTCTCACCATAAAATGACCCATTTTATTTATTGATCCCAACAGCATTGTAATTGCATTGTAGTAAAAGCAATCGTATACCATAGAAAGGTGATGTGCAACCACTCCCATGGGGTTCAAAGGACAAAGAGATTTTTGCCATGTTGGATGATATTTGTATTGCAAACAATCAAAATCCTTTGTCAATGTTATCCAACATGGCAACAGTGACGTAACTGCACATCACCTATACATAATAATATATTTCTAAGGTTGGCAACTGGCCAGTAATAGGAATATATTATTATGTACAGTATCATTCTCCAGAGCCATTTTCACTCAGTCACTCTGGGCTAGACAACTGAATGCAGAGATGTGATTGGCTTCTCAGAGAACTGCTATTTCACTAATGTTGAATGGTTTCTGCTTGGCAAAATTATTCTATCAAAATATGTCAACACAAATACTTTGTTTCTTCGTAATACTCCTCTGTGGAAATTTTTATGGGTACTGAAGCATCCCAGTACACGCTTCCGCAAAGTACGACACCTTGGCTGTAGAGCCTTGTTTTCATGATTGAGATGCGGCCTTTAACTGAAGTCTGATACACGACTAATTTTAGAACTAGGCAAAGAGATGCAAATCAAGGCCGGATTTTGGTGAAAACAGTGGGGGAGGTGGAAAAAATTTTAGGGGAAGTGCAGCGGTCTAGCTCACAACTCCCATGGAAAGTTAGGGCTTATTGTAGAACAGGCCAATATCAACGAGGTGAGGTATGCATGTAGAGTGTACATATGTACCAGTGTATTAATGAATTATGAATGTATATGACTCCAATCTTGCCCTTCATTACAATTGCTACAAAGTTTCTTTCAAAACATTGCATTAAAAGGGTACTGGACACAGAGATGAATGGCTATCACTGTTTCAATTTTACAGAGAAAACTTTCTTACGTCACCAAGTGTAGATCCTAAGCAACCATCACATTTTCACTTTGTTCCATTATTGAAACTTTCCCAAGGGGAGGTGCATGACCTTTCAGGAGGTGGAAAAATTCTCAGAGGAGGTGCAAAACGATCTCAGGGGAGGTGCGCACCTCTTCACACCTCCCCTCAAAATCCGGCCTTGATGCAAATAAATCACCACAGCTAGAAAGAGCATACTAAAATACGTAAATTATTGCAAAGTTTGGTTGCGAAATGTTGTAAAATACGGAAAATATAGCCTTGCAAAGTTTGCAAATTTTGTATACTTTTGTATTGCATGCGAAAATTGCAATACAAAAGTATACAAAATTTGCAAACTTTGGAAGGCTATATTTTCTACATATTTTACAACATTTCGCAACCAAACTTTGCAATTTTACTAATTTTAGTATGCCCTTCCTGGGAATATACTTTTTTTGCTAAGATAAAAAATTAGTCTATAATGGGAATTGTCTATTGTTCCCCATTATCTATTTTTGTTTCTCTAAATAAAGAGCTAGAGGTTTTGTTTCTCTAAATAAAGATAAAGAGCTAGAGGGGGGACCAAAATTTATGTTCTTGTTTTGCCTGTTGGGGGGGGGGGCTTTGAAAATTTTACTTGTCTTAAGAGGGGGGCAACGAAAAAATATAACTGTAGAGTTTCTCCTCAGTCTCCCCCTGTACAATAAATAATGAGCAGTCCCTAAGTCGTGGGGCCGCTATGTAGATCATTGCATGGTCGTTGTAGATCATTGTAGGTCGTTGCAGGGCCGTTGTAGATGTTTGTAGATCGTTGTAGATCATTGTAGGCTCGTTGTAGGTGGTTGTAGATCGTTGTAGGTGGTTGTAGATCGTTGTAGGTGGTTGTAGATCGTTGTAGGCTCGTTGTAGGTCGTAGGTGGTTGTAGGTCGTTGCTTACTTTAGTACCTACATCATCAAATTATATAATCCTGGATGATGTCACATTAGAACATATTTGATAAAACAAAGTAGCATTCCTGGGGGTACATGTCAGCTTGATGTGTGTAAAAACAATTTAAAATATGCCCTACTGCAGCTCAATTAATTTATTATTCTATTCTGTCTTGCATATGCCAGATTATCAGCTATTATAGAGTCAGCCTGTCCAATTCCAGATGAGGTTACCTGTCACACACGTTTCGAGCGATCGCACCAAAATCGGTCACGTGACAATGTGAAAGAGACTTGCAAGATGGCCGCCATTATCGAAGATAGATATGAAAGAGTGTTTTACCGACTTATTTAACAGTTTATTCAAACATCAGGCGGCTTTGTTGGACTTTATTGGTTTGTTAAAGTTACAAACTAACTTAAAGTGGTATGGTTTATGTCATAAGCAGATTAGTGTTGAAATAAATTTAATGTTTATGATATTGAACATGTCGTGTTGAAACATGTTTCTAAAATTGTACTTAATGTTTTCACATATTTACACCACATCCTGGTACTGTAAAACACTGATTTAATCTTTACGAATGCTTTGGTGATTGGTTGTATGTGCTTATGAAGAAGGGACATTGGAATTTGTTTCGCAAACTTATAAAACGTCGCTTGAAGACTATGCACTATAAACAACTACAAATCCACATTACTAATATCATAATAGACAAAGTCAAGAAACAAGAACGTAGCAAGTCGAAAATGGTGGTTACACGTACATCTCAAAGACTAATCGATGCAACTCATCGAGACGTCGATTTTGAGACACTGAAAGGTTTTATTGTGGAACTAGAAAAGGTATATGATGAATTTTGTATTATTACTGAAGAGTGTGAGTTATGTTTCCAACGAAAAGTTTGTTGAACACCGTGTGGCCAATGGGGACAACATTACAACTTACAATGCAAATGTTAGACAAACATATGTTTAAGCGAGAGATGTTTATGTCAAAATTAAGGCTGAGAATGAGAGATCCAAGCAAAATATAGCAATGGCACCTCTAATGACAGCTCTAAGGAGAGACATGAACAGATTACAAGATATAATTTCAGCTGTTGATGACAGTTTATCACAAGAAGCTCCTAGTTCAGAGAGTCTACAAATGGACAAGAGTGACATGGAGAATTTGTTAAATGAAATGTGTGACAAGATAACTAAGCTGATTGTTTCCGGAATTTTTCCCCGCGATTGGAAAATGGCTGTTATCACGCCCATTCCGAAAGATGGCGACCACGAGCAAGCAAACAACAACAGACCGATCTCGCTTTTGCCAATTTTATCTAAGGTATGCGAGAGGACGGTGCATAACCGAATGATTCCTTATTCCTATACAAAACAACGCCTATCTACCCAACAGAATGGCAATAGGAGATTTCACTCAACAGAAACATCCTTGATCGAGACTACGGATTCAATCTTGAACGCTATCAATGGAAAAGAGTTAACAGCCGTTGTCCTGCTAGATATGAGTAAAGCTTTCGACAGTATAGATCACAACATTCTCCTGTTGAAATTACAAGATGTTGGCGTATCACCTGCTGCCCTAAACTGGTTTTCGAGCTATTTATCGGAAAGATTCCAGGTCGTGCGTATCAATACCGTTCTATCCGACAAACTACCTGTGAACAGTGGTGTCCCACAAGGCAGCATTCTTGGACCGATCCTCTTTAATATCTATGTTAACGAACTACCAACAATTCCTCAGAGCAGTTTATCCAAGATGTATGTTGACGATAATAAACTATCACTTACTTTTCCTATCCAACAATGTGCCTCAGCAATAACAGAGATGAATAAAGATCTGTGCAAGATTCGTGACTGGTGTTTTGACAACCACCTCCTCAACGCATCCAAGACAAAGCTTATGGTTTTTGGTAGTCGCCAAATGATCTTGAAAGTCCCTGACTTCCATCTGTCATTACTGGGTAAGGAACTTATTCCAGTCCAAACAGCGAAAGATCTCGGAGTTACATTTGATTCAAGCCTTTCCTTCGACTGTCATGTCGTTAAGACTGTCTCTTCTTGCATGTCCAGCTTGGCGCAGATTAACCGTGTAAAACATGTTTTAGATAAAAGTTTGCTTGTCTTGGTAATTCGAAGTTTAGTTTTCAGTAAAATGTATTATTGCTCGTCGGTATGGGCTAACACCACTGCAAATAACATCCGCAGACTTCAAGCAGTACAGAACTTTGCCGCCCGAATTATCTCTAAATCAAGAAAATTTGACCACATAACACCCTTGTTGACTGAACTGCAAACTGTTCTTACTCTACCGTGACGCTGTTTTGACATTCAAATGTCTAAACGGAATAACACCGGTATCTTTGTCTCAACAATTTGTGAGGAGTGCAACTGGCCAACGGACATTCTATTACCGTGCTGTCTCCTTATGGAACGAACTTCCAGAGAACATTAAATGTAGTTCATCAGTTAACATTTTTAAACATAAATTACGTAAATATCTTTTAGGAAATCATTCATCGTAGCATTTGGCCTTTCACAATTTTTACATCCATACCAGTAATTAGTTAGTTAGAATTTCATGTTAGTATATCTTATAATTTTTTGTAATTGTTAATTGGCTCCGAAAAGCCCCGTTGGGGAGAGTTCAATAAATTATTGTATTGTACTGCTATACAGCCAGACACCTACTTGCCAAGTGATGTTGAGACAATAATGGGGACTGCATATAATAAAATAAGGAAGATAAACCTGAACTTGGAGAAGTAGGGAGACTATTCAGGGTACTGGGCCCAACAGGCTCTAAAGTTGAGCCACCTGCTAGATTATGAACATCACTGGTCACAGGGGGTGTCAAGTTAGTCAACATACCTTCTGTGTTTTTAGGGCGCTCTTTATCATTTGGTAAGATCACAGGCACTTTCGGAGGTTGTTTCTTTCTTTCTCTCGGCCAGTATGTCACCTGTGAAACCAACTGCCCCTGGTGTCAGTTCCACCATGAATGTTACACCTACTCCTAGTGGTACTTTGACCATTGAGGATCCCCAAAACCCATCGACCAGTCAGATAGCCAGCTCCGTCATGAGTATGGCAGCCCAGCAACAGTATCCGAGCAGCACCTTGTCCTTTACGCCCTCCAGAACCCACCAACCAGTCAGATAGCCACATAATACTAAACCAAACAGGATAATTCCAACCTAGTGTATGTAATATAAAGTCTAAATTAAAGCTTACCTTTTGGTGCCATTATGTTTCATAAACTACGTATATCCTCAATTTGTGCTGTAATAGTTAAAGAGTGAATAAATAGTAATAAATATACATTTTCCTAATTTTATCAACATTTATCTAACTATAAGAGGGAAGACATTTACTGAACAGTGACTACTGAGCGTTATTCCTTAAAATAGACACGAGGTTAAAATGAATCCTACCGGTGCAGGGACGGACGCATGCTGAATATCACTAAGAGGATTCCGGTGCATACCATCGTAATCATACCATTTTCCTCGATAGAATAACCTGCCGTTGTAATGAACTCTAGTCCAGAATGTAAGACCTCCGAGTGAATATCTACAATCGAGTAAATGGAGATGGGAAGGCAACTCTTCTGGATCTTTCAGGTTTTTAGTCTGGGCGAGATTGCCAAGAAAGATTGGTAACACCCATGGGGGACCTCTGTCGAATTCTTTGGACTCAAACGGACGTGTTCCTCCACAATAATCGCTTTCAGTCACGTCAGTCTCAGATATTAGCACCCAGGGTTCAATTTGTCTTGTCTTTGCAGCTGGTGGTGGATTCTGGTGGAATTCTGCCCCACATAATTCAGGTGGTGGATGTAACCACGCTGCGAGCATTAACTCCAAATAAGTTTGTCCTTCAAGTCTTTCCAGCCCGCCATTCACAATCAACATTGAGGAACGTTGCAGCACTTTTTCATCTTGAGGACAATGGGGCGAATCGCAAAAAGAACGCACAGAATTCGAAAGAATCGGTCTGAGGCAAGGTAGTATCATATCTTGCTCGCAGCCCCATACGTCGACAGTTCCAGACGTTGCAAAACTAAATTGTGGGAACTGCATTAGTCATTGGACCTTACCAGAACCATACTCTTCGTCAGCGAAAGACAAAACAACCTCTGCGGGCATTTAGCATAGGTTTCACATGGTGATGATGCTATCAAACTGTTCATTATGACAATATTGCTGGATGATTTTTCAAATACGTATAAAATATGGTAAGGTAGTTATCTATCGGGCAGGTATTTATAAGTTTAATGATGATACTTTCATCCAAGTAAGCAGTTCCACCCCATAACGGAATATTTTTGTTGCAGGATAGGCTGCTTTTTGTCGATTTTCTCGTATTGATCCATAAGACTGCATCTTAGTGACGACTGATCGCACTCCATTTCATTTGTTGCTTCGACTTCGTCGTAAGTAATCTTACGACTATGGTCGTAAGTAATCTTTGGTTGGCAGTGCTTTGGGATTGTCAAACATTTATTTGACAATTTGAACTCGTACTTATCAGGGCCAAATAGCATGTCAAACAAACCACAAATGCTTCTTAACCACGCCACCTCATCTGCTGAAAAGCGCAACTTTCTGGGTTTCCAACTACAACCTCGATAATAGAATTCACGTCCTAAAATCGAACGACGTTTATACCACTTTATTATAAAAAAAATATACAAAATCTTACTATATTTTTTATATCATGTGCTCAACTTAGATATAGTCAGGTGAAATGTATAACAAACACGTATATACTCCATTCTTGAATTCTAAAAATGTAATTCAGTGTTAGGTAATGCTTGACGTTTCTGTTTGTTTTAAAAAAGTACAGTCGAGGCTATCACCCGTACTCTAAAAGCTCACTCACACTCAATGAATGGAGGTTCAATTTGAGCTTCTCTTGACGTCAATGTTGTTTTTGAATAGCTGGAAGGTTAGTGTTGTACCTTACTCAGGGGCGGACTGGCCCACAGGGATACCGGGAAATTTCCTGGTGCGCCCCTGATTAAAATGTTCTTTGGCGCCCCTATTTTGGAATTTTGTAGATAATTTATATGTTATTTTGGTAATGGCATTTGTTCACGCCCAGTCTAACAAAGACATATGTTCTCTCACTAATTCGAAAATGGTTAATGCTCGACGGCGCGATGTTCAAGAAAACATTCGTGTCTTAGAAAGAATAGTATACTATCTGTAATCAAACACCTTACTAAACAATCCTTTTCATTCAGAGGACACCGAAACGAGTCTTCACACACTTTAGATGATAGATCAGTTGATCAGGGCAATTTTTTAGAAACAATCCTTTTGATTTCGGAATTTGATGTACCTTTAAACAGTCATGTACAGGAAGTAATTCATAAAAGTAAGAAAAGACGAGAAAATTTGAAACGAAAAGGCAAGCAGAATAGTCGTCCATGTGGAAATTTAGTAGCAATGCTTTCAAAATCCCAGTTAACAAAATTTTGCTAGCAATTTTAAACATCATCAAATCAAAAATTATTCAAGAGATTGGAGAAAAGAAGCTTTCAGTAGAGATGGGTGGTACACAAGACACCGCCACGGTGGAACAGGATCGGAAACAATAATTTTGCGTTATGTTCTTGGCCTGGAAGTCAATAAATCAAAAGTTTATGATGGATCAGCAGCTGTATTTTTCAACTTTTGAAGACAAATGTTGAGCAACAAGGTCTAAAGATGGAAAATATTATCGGTGAATCATTTGATGGAGCATCAAATATGCGTAGTGAGATCGGAGGTGTACAGAAGCTGATCAGAGACGTTTCGCCAAATTCGTTGTACACATGGTGCTACGCTCATGTGCTAAACCTTGCTGCTCCAGATATGGTAGAAAACATAACCGAAGTGAAAATTTGATCAGCTTGCTTCAAAGCACCGTAACGTGTTTTTTTTCAGATTCGTGCAAACGAATGGATGTTTGGAGCAGGATAAAGATTGACGAAGCAGTTGGTTCAGCAAAGCTAAGGAAATTGCAGAAGATTGGTGGCCTAAGCAGGCAGCATTAGAAACAATTTTTTGTCCGTATAACAATAAAAAAACGGAACATATTTTGTCATGCTAAAGGTACCGAATGATATTGTGAATCTGCCCACATTCAATGCAAAGGCATCTATTTAGGGCCTCGACGTTGCTTGAAAAATGGTTACAATTCAGTAACATTTTAACTGCGTATTTTCTACTTCTTGTGCGTAGTATTTTACGTGAAGCATCCGATTACTTGCAAACAAGTGGTTTGGATTACCTTAGTGCTTGGAACATGGTGCAGTCATCAAAAGACGAGATACACAGAATCTCATATGACACCACTGTATGAAGCATCAATTAATTTTACCCAGTCAATGAATGCCAAACTGGCTGAAGACGATCTTGACAACATTAAAGTTGAATCGAAACTAGAAGATTCAAGAGTAATGGAGAGCAAGCATCTGATATGCTAGCCGAGGATCCAATTGTGCGGTTTCGTGCAAACGTTTTCAGACGAGTAGTTGACCAGATTACGACTAGTATTGACCAATGCTTTAGTCAAAACGGTCAACTGATTAAAGATACAGCATATCTTGATCCACAACGTTTTGATGAAATAGTCTTGTCTGGAGTTTCTGAAAACAGCCTTACTAAAGTTGCTAAGATAACTGGCATTGCCACCATGACCAGTACCAATGAGGAGGAGAGCAGTGAAGGGAGAGCAGTGATAATCAAGACGGTGGTGTCAGCAAGAATCCAATATTAAGAAATCGAAATGCTGCTCGCAAAGGAAACTGTAAAAAGTGTCTTGCTTGCTGTCACAAAATCCTCTTCAAGTACTCACTCATCACTTCAGCTCTAACAAATTTGTTTGTTGTGTATGAACATTTGTTGACATTGTCATTTACGTAAGTTAACTGTGAAAGGGCATTTAGCAAGTTGAAACAAATAACGCCCCCTTTCTGAGTTTTCCCGGTGAATTACGTATAGGCCAGTCCGCCCCTGACCTTACAATGTGACTACTCACCCTTCAGCTTTTCAAAAACAGCTTTGACACTGAAGAAAAGCTCAGATTGAACCTCCACTCACTGAGTGTGAGTGAGCTTTTAGAATACAGGCATATGTGTGTATAATGCCAGAATTTAGTAATTCTGCCAAAGGTCTATTAGACACTAAATTGGTTATAGATAGAAACATTCAAAATTAAATACTGGTACTAGTAACAAGTATATACTATTTAGTATACCATAAGTAATACATTCCAGTGCCTTTCTTAGTGCCAAGCGGAGTGATAGCAATCTGTCTGTATGCACAAGTGTGAGAATTTGCTCAACTGAAAAAGGAAACAGTTCCACGTAGGTTAACGAATATACGATTACGTGGTTAACCAATCTCGTTCTGCGAACATGCCTGTTCGCAGGTTAAGGGTGGGCATACCCTTAACCCACGAACGGGCATGGTCGGGGAACAAGAAGGTGGTTACCAAAAAAACCTTGTACATCAAAACACTGGTGATTAATAACCGAGAATGATGGATATCACAACAAACCTGAACAGTCTTTGGACGTCATATCAAGATTAGTAGCTTGTTGGTATAATCGACGGTCTGCCTTGTTCAATAACGAGGTATCCATAATCTCCCGTTCCAAGTAATGGGCCAAATGACTCACAAAGTTGTAGTCCCCATTCTTTACACTGGAATACAAATAATATATTTCATTTTCTACTTAGATAAAAAATCTACCTTTCAAAGAAACAAAAAAAGAAGTGATTCGACGTTCTAAAGTTGCCACTGGAACAGGCATTAGCATTATCATTTGCAATTTACACATTAAAATTATTTTCACAGAACCAAATTAATATAATTCAGGATGGAAATGTCAATAACTCAGGGTTTTTTCCTATTTTAACAGGGAAATTCACCAACATTGTTGCAAGATGGCCAGGTTCGACACATGACAGCCACATCTTCAGGACATCTCATGTCCATCATCAATTAGAAGGCACCAATTTTGAAAATGGAGTGTTAATTGGAGACAGTGGTTATGCTTTCCTTCCGTACCTAATGACCCCATATCCAGAACCACACACCCAACCAGAACAGATTAATTGGGCATTGAAGGTGAACAGATCCCTTATTGAACGGGGGTTTGGCATTTTGAAATGTCGTTTTCATGTTTTGCACTCTGAAGTTCGAATGAGGCCAGAAAAGGTGTGCACCATAGTTACGGCATGCTGCATTCTGCACAACATTGCAATAGACCACAATGAAGCCTTTCCAGAATGTGAAAATGATGAGCCTTGGAATGAAGATGATATTGATAATTTTGCAGGTGTTGAGACTGGGCAGGCAGTGAGAAATCACATTGTTAACACATACTTTCAATAAATTTATTATATTACAATTATTTCCATTCATTAAATTAATTTTGAACATTTGAACAAGTATTTGTAATATATTTCATAACATTAAAATTTCTGTACATGCATAATTTTGAATAATTTCTGTACATGCGTGGTTGCCATACAAGAATATTTAAATAACTCGTATATATATATGTAATAAAACAGTAAATCATAGTTTATATAAAGTGGAAATGATTCGGAAGCTCGCTTGACAGTTTTTTGTTCACATTTAGGTGATAACCCAATAGAATATTGGGCTTCAATTAAACATTTTTTTCCGTGTTGATATATCAACATGAGTGGAAATTGGGAGAACAAGAAATTGTGTGTAAACACAACACCCAAAGGGCGGAGTGTTTCCACACAATATCTCGTTTTCCCAATTTCCACGAGTGTTGATATAACTGTATATCAACACGGAAAAAATGTTTTATACTTGTTAAATATCAACCAACACAAGACAAAAGATTTGTGTACTTTCAGGTATTTATTACTAACAACTTTATTGGCATGACCTGTACAGGCATTGCTAAAGTATATAAGTAGAAGTGCTATTAAGAGCACTGTCCATCTTATTTTAGTATAAACCTACTAGTAGGCTATCACATATTGTGCCTTCTGATTGGCTACGCCACTAGTAGGCTACTAGTGATAGCCTACTAATAGAAAATTCAAAATGGCGGAAAATTCGCGTTTTGCACTTTTGCCGAAGTGTCTGATAATTTTTTGGACGACTTGTTGAACAATTCTGTACTAAAAACCCCCGAAAAAAGCAACAAAAATATGGAATGGCAATTTTTAAGGGTGAGAAAATAGACAAAATAACATACACTCAATGAAATTTTAAAATTAAAACTGAATTTTGTAAAACATTTTACGCGAACAAAAACTAAAATATTTGTTTACCTTTAATGGTTTTATAATGTTTTTTTGTGTATTTTTGTATTGTGTTTGCCGCCCAGTTGTAAATTAAAGTTAAAATTTATACTAAAACAATTAGACAACTTGACTATTCGCTCATAGACAACAAAACAGAAATGAACTAATTTAGCAATAAGCCTATACAAAGGTTTTAACGTTCAAAGTGTCTGATCATTATAATTTTAAAATGGGAAGTATTTGTCTTTTAGTTTTTACTGTTTTCAATTATTTTTCCCTTGTACGGACAGGACATTTTTCTTTACATTATAATATATAGTAGCTTTGACGGTAAGCAAGAGTTCCATGATAGCGTCATCATCTAAATTTTCGAAAAATTTCTTCAGTATTGACCTGTTTCTTATAGATTTTGTGGAATTGGAGGAGCTTGTCGTAAAGAGAGAAATAAAGAGAGCATATTTCCTTGCTTTTCAAACATAACATTAGCTGTCAAACGCTGTTGACATTTGGATTTTAATTGAGATGGTTGCATGTTGGGCATCTTGTTGAGCGTCAGATACTTGGTACCGCTGAACTCTCGGACCACAATTCTTGAGATGTTGTAAACAGACGTCGAAGTTACCTTGGTGATATCGTTTTCCCATAATACTAAGCGAATCGTTCCAGAATTGTCAGTAAATAAAGCTTCTTGTTTTTTGAGGGTTTTGCCCTTTGACAAGAGGGTTTCTACACCACCTTTCAGAGTAACCCGGCCACAGATTTTTACGACGGCGTTGGCATCTCCCACCAATAATTGTGCGACAGTGCTAATCCCAGGTTTGCATTTTTCTTCTGGTTGATTAAGCTTCATGAATTCAAAAGATACCTCTGATTCTTGGGGATCATCCATCTTGGTTCTCTTATTTATTTTCGTCTTGGTTTGTTCTCTGATTCCTTTTCATTTTGAATTTGGAGATCTTTACTGGTGACGAGGTCTCAAACTTTGAAGAAAGTTGAGAGTGCTTCTCGGGTGAGAAACACACAGATCTGTAAATCGCCTTTTCTGTCCGCAACTTCATCTCAAAATACATGTTGTCTTTTTGGCTTGTTTTAATTGGAGATTATGTAAATAGGCAATGATTGGTTCATCTAAGAATTAAGACAAATATTAATTAGTTAAATGGGTAATAATACATAACATGTTCAACCAACAGAAGATCCTGGAAATAGTCTTTAAGACCCCCAGGCCAAAAAAAAATATGTGCGTTTCCAGTTTCCCGACCCTACCTAGCAAGCTTTTGGACGCCGAAATCCCGACCCTAAACTTTTTTATTGGATCATGCTTGTAAGTGTTTCCACTTAGAGGAAAAGGTTTGTGGAAAATGGAAATTTGAGGCAATTTTAGGGAAATATATTTTTGGATGTGGAAGCACTGACTAAACAAAATGGCATCCGGTTTTTAGGAAAATTAAAACAAAAGTTTAAAAAAAAGTTAAAACCGACCTACCCTACCTAAGTTTTTACAAGAAGAAACCGGAAACCCACATATTTTTTTTGGTCCCACAAATGTGCCATGGAGCATGTTTCGAACCCATAAGTTTCTCAGACATTTAGACTAGGAGTTAATTATTCTTACCTTGAGCAACTGTTGTATTTGCTTTACTCTCTTGTGGCTTGATAGTTTGCACATATTCAGTGCCAGCTGAAGGTTTATATTGGTTTACTAGGACTCTCAAAACCTAAAGGTGCAAACATACAACTATACTCTTTACTGTGGTATATGAATTTAACTGACTATAATGTTTGCTAATTTTTACCTTCAGTCTTTTTGGCTTCCATATCAATGTTTTCAATTTCAACTTTATCTAAGCAGAGTAATAATTATCAATGTTGTGCACAGAAAGAAATAATTAGTAAACTTAACAGTCAAATGAGTTACTTTTGAATTGGTATTTCTGGCATTTTTGAATTGCTGTTTCTAGGGCACTTAGAAATGAATACATACCAGTAAATTTGTCCATTTCTTTAAAAAGTCTGAAAAAAAAATTAGATAAACATTTATAAAACAATATAACACTATTATTCACATCAAAAACATGTTTAATATGCATATGAGAGAGTTAGGGCATAGCAAAGTTAGCAACATCTTGTAGTCGTCTTTCCTCTTGCAATCTATACTGTAGGGATTCCATTTTTTTATGGAGGTAAGTCTATCATATGTCATTGGCTCTATTACTAATGATGACAAATTGCAAGCTCAACTAATTGCAACATAAGTCATTCCTATAGTGGTCTCCTTTTTTCCTATATCAATCCATGCTTTCTCCAATGTCATTCCCTGACTTTTATGAATTGTTAATGCCCAAGCAAGTGTTAAAGGTAATTGCTGTCTTTCATGTGAACTATTACCTACAATTGCAGTTGCAGTGACAGGAGGAATAGGAACACAAGAAGGCATATTTGGAAGGGATGGACCGTGATAGTTATCAAATTTTACCAAAACAGCAATAGGCAAATCAGGTCTATGATTTTGTGCATATATAATATCAATAACAGTTCCAGTTGACCCATTGCATAGACCAACCAAGGGCCATGCATAGATTGATTGTCAACATCACCCTTGCTCCTTTGCAAATCAAAACAACTGGGTGTAAACCAAGCATATCCTGAGCACTAATCTGTTTAGCATCACAGCTGGAATGCCGGGCATGGATTTCTGCAATTGGAGTACTTAACTTTCGTAAGTGGTCATAACTGAACTTTCCTACTTCTTCGTTGCTGTAATATAGTCTTATTGCGTTTACAAAATCATCAAGGTTGGACACAGAACTTGGCTGTCGAGTTAGTAATGTTCTCCAATCATCAAGACTTGTTTCTCCAGTTCGAAGTTGTGACAAGATGCCTTTAAATATTGCCTGTTCATGTTGATTACCTCTTACTCTTCTATTATCACTGAGTATAACAACCATGTTAAACATTTTATATGCTAGATAACCTTGTTTGCCTATTGGGTTAGATAGTTTATCATGGTATAATGGCTTATCGCCAACTGGAGGCAACTAGGCAGGATCGCCAATTAAAATTACAGATTTTCCACCAAATAAGTTATCTCTTAGGCCAGTAGCCTGTCTGCATTGTCTATCTATCCATCCCAAAGCAGTTTGACTAAGCATAGAGTATTCATCAATTATAATGTACTCAACAGATAACAAATTCTTTTGCAAAGCATCCAGACTATGGCCAGACAAATCTTTTTGTGACATTCTGCCAACTGGAAGTTTAAAAATGAGTGAATTGTTATACCATTAACATTAAAAGCAGCTTTCCCAGTTGTTGCTGTTACCATGCATTTTTCTTTCAAATAACTGCTTACAGCATTTATGAGGTAACTCTTTCCAGTCCCACCTTCACCAATAATAATAATAATAAGTCGCTCTTTATTAGGCAATACATTGTTATTATGATTTACAATTATGTTATAAGCTATTTGTTGCTTTTCACTAAATGTGCTTGTGTCTACTTGATAATCTCTTTCTGGCATAGTGTAATTATTTTTTTGTACTTTGATCCAGTTCACCATAGATGCAATATGCTCTGTTGTGTACTTTGTAGCATCCAATTGCCAATCATAGTGTGATTCATTGTCTGGATTGTTGTCTTTAAGCTTATGATAATTGGATAAAATCATCCACTCTTCCTGGAGAGGGCCTTCAAATTCGTTTTGGCTGCAAAATTGATCATTACCCAGTGCTTCCATTTTCAAGGAAATTTCCTTTTTTAAGGAAATTCTACTGTCGAAAAGGAAAATCTAAGGAAGAGAAAAAATCTAAGGAAATCTAAGGATTTTTTCCGAAAAACTTAAATATTCATACTAGCGCATTAGTGCAGAAGAAGGTTTCACTATTTTTTGAATTTTTGAGTGAATTATCAATTATCTTGAATTAAAAGTCTGTTTTTAACTTTTTCCTCGTGTTCCCAAAAATTTCCGAAAGTTTTTGAGCGATGGGATTCAGTAACTTTTGGCGCCAAACTGCGCCAAACGTTGTGACTAGTTAATTAATCATATCAATGTAAAGGTATCTCTTGTAAATTCATAACAAATATTTAATTTTTAACAGTATAATAGCCTGTGGTTTTTTTAGCTAGCCCACATCTTTGTTAATTGTGCTATTTTGTGCCTTGAAAATTAATTAAATCCTTTATATTGCTACAAAATCACTGCAAACTGCTTCATAAAATTTCAAGGAATTTTCAAGGAAATAACATATACAATCTAAGGAATTTAGAGAAATTTTTATGACAAAAATGAGAAATTTTGATTTTAAAAATGGAAGCACTGTCATTACCTTGAACAACATTATACAATGCATGTTTTTCCCAATTTGGTACATGATGGATGCAACTGGACAATTTAAAAAGTTGAGCCAAGCATTGGCATACACAAAGTCTGAAGCTGTTTCATCATTCCATGCATTATTTTGAGAGTATTATATTCCTTTACGGTTTGGAGAGTAAGAAGGGAAAAAACGTGGAATGACTTTTGGTGACTGTTTTACAAGTTTATTGTTTACAACTTTGAATTCGGTGACAAACTTATTCAAATTAAGATTCATCACTTGTGGCATATCTTTCTGAAATATAGCATGTTTTGCATATTTGTCCAAAATAGATTCATTGGTACGAGGGCTATTCACATCGTTGATTTTTTTTATAATTCGAGATCCATCTAAGTTGACTGGCAAAATCTCAAATGATGAACTGTGTAACTTTAAGGTTACAGGATACCCTTTTTGGCGTTTTGCGGAAAATCGCTACTGCGCGCTCAATATCAGTCCAATTTGAATCAAATTTTCACCAAATGTTCGCCAGTGTATGCAAAATATGGCAAAGTTGTAAAATTAACAAACAATCAAATAATATAAGAATTATTCAGGAAAATCTTAAATCGTGGTACCGTTACGCTTTTGAGTTGTGCTCCTGCTGGTTTTAAGTTATATTTATGAAAATATCATTTTTATACAGTAAAATAGTTGTTCTAAAAAACTGTGTTTGGAAATTTTTGTTTATTTCGTCATTCCGCTGATATGGTGATTTCTTTGACGACTGCAATATATTTCTGAATTGTTTGAATGAATTGCTCTTTATTTTTAAAATATCCAGAATTTAAAAAAAAGCCGAACACCATTTTGAAACTGACGTCTTTAGCTATGTCGTGTGAAAATTTGAGAGAAATTGGTTAAAACCCACAGGAGCACAACTCGTTTGAAAATCAGTAATTACCGTACAATTTTTCGGGAGAAAATGGAATTTGAATATTACATTTTCAATGTTTTTCTTATTGCAGCGAAATGTATTTTATTAAATAACTCTGCGAGTTTTCAATATTTTTCGTTCAAACTTGGTCAGATAGTAGAACTAGTGTAATGCTTTCATGGAAACCAATAAAAAAATTTTAGGCAAAATTAACTCTCAAAGGTGTTCTGTAACCTTAATGAAAGCAATAAATGCATAGTTTCCTGGTTTTATTTGAGCAATCAAATGGGAAGTTTAATCTGCGGAGATAGACCTTTGCAGGTCTACACTTGCCTCTATCAACCTCGTTCCCAGGGCATTTTTCCTCCATGGCTGAAGGTCGGCAAAAATGGCCCTGAGATCGGCTGATCACATGACACCCAGAATTTGTGGGTGTTTTGATATGATAATTTATGTACTATGCACGCATAGGAGTGTTTTATCACATATAAAACATGACACGTAGTGGAGTGTTTTATCTGTGATGAAACATGACTACAAGTGCTTTAAATGGCTTTAAAAACGACTCATCTTATACAAGTTCATTGGCGAAGTAATTTTTAAAATAAACTTTGTCTAAACCGAGAAAATCAAGCTAAAGTTTATGTAAATTAACATGATTTTTTATCACATATAAAACCACGACACACTTACGATTTTTCTTTGTGTTTTCCTCCTGAATTAGTAAGTGAAATTAAATCCTTGTTGTCTGTTTATGAAAAATAAATGGGAAGTAATGAACAATTTGCCAACTTATTCTTACTTTATTCAACTTATTTACTAATACTTTATTTTAAGAACAGTATGCTTGCATAATTCTTCTTATATCCAAGAGTCTGACAAACACATAGCATGGCAAGTACCGGACGAGTGAATCTTGACTATACTCTCGCTATTTTCTTAAGTTTTTCTTAAGACAAACAAATTTTAAAGCACCACAGTTGTTTGAATAAATTATACTGCAAACAAATTAATGCGTTTTTGAACAGACCAATGGGATTGTAGAATTGATCAGCTGATCCCAGGGCCATTTTCGCCGACCATTCAGCCGTGGAGGCAAAATGCCCTGGGAACAAGGTTGTGCCTCTATATATTTACATTACCGGCATAAATTAATTAGTGATGCAGACTTTAAAGAATTTTGAGACATACGCCTGTATTCTAAAAGCTCACTCACACTCAATGAGTGGAGGTTCAATCTGAGCTTCTCTTGAGTGCATGTCAGTGCTGTTTTTGAATAGCTGGAGGGCTTGTGCCATACCGTACTATGTGAGTACTCACCGTCCAGCTATTCAAAAACAGCATTGACACTCAAGGGAAGCTCAGATTGAACCTCCACTCATTGAGTGTGAGTGAGCTTCTAGAATACGACCAAAATAGCACATAAACCATGTTATTTTTTTATTTTTTTTAATTTATTTATTTTGCCACAATATATATATATATATATATATATATATATATATATATATATATATATATATATATATATATATATATATTATATATATATATATATATATATATAATATATATATATATATATAATATATATATATAATATATATAATATATATATATAATATATATATATATATATATAATATATATATATATATATATATAATATATATATATATATATAATATATATATATATATATATATATATAATATATATATATATATATATATATAATATATATATATATATATATATA